TCACACACTAACTCACTCACACACGCACACTCAAACACCAACACACACACTCACACACTCACAAACTCAAACACTAACACACACTAACACATACTCACTCACTCACAAACTCAAACACTAACACACACTCACACACTCAAACACTCACACACACTCATTCACACACACTCACACACACTCACACACACTCACACACACTCACACACACACTCACACACACACTCACACACACACACTCACACACACAATGACACACACTCAGTCACACACACCCACACAAACTCACCCCCCAACCCTCCCACCCCAGGCACCTGTGGTGCAGTAAACACCACGTGGTGTGTCCCAGGCGTGTTGGGGTCACGGCAGGGGCGGTGACCCGTGCAGATGTTGCTCACTGCACGGCCATCAGCTGCCCTCGGCTGCCCTTGCAGCTGCCCTCACAGCTGCCCATTCAAATGCCAGGGGGGTTCACGGTGGCCGTGTCAGAGACACTGAGAGTCTGGGTTCAAGCCCTGGGTCTGGGTGTCTCTCTCAGGGGGTTCACAGTGGCCTTGTCAGAGACACTGAGAGTCTGGGTTCTAGCCCTGGGTCTGAGTGTCTCTCTCAGGGGGTTCACGATGGCCGTGTCAGAGACACTGAGAGTCTGGGTTCTAGCCCTGGGTCTGGGTGTCTCTCTCTCTCAGGGGGTTCACAGTGGCCGTGTCAGAGACACTGAGAGTCTGGGTTCTAGCCCTGGGTCTGGGTGTCTCTCTCAGGGGGTTCACAGTGGCCGTGTCAGAGACACTGAGAGTCTGGGTTCTAGCCCTGGGTCTGGGTGTCTCTCTCTCAGGGGATTCACAGTGGCCGTGTCAGAGACACTGAGAGTCTGGGTTCTAGCCCTGGGTCTGGGTGTCTCTCTCAGGGGGTTCATAGTGGCTGTGTCAGAGACACTGAGAGTCTGGGTTCAAGCCCTGGGTCTGGGTGTCTCTCTCTCTCAGGGGGTTCACAGTGGCCGTGTCAGAGACACTGAGAGTCTGGGTTCTAGCCCTGGGTCTGGGTGTCTCTCTCTCTCAGGGGGTTCACAGTGGCCGTGTCAGAGACACTGAGAGTCTGGGTTCTAGCCCTGGGTCTGGGTGTCTCTCAGGGGGTTCACAGTGGCCGTGCCAGGGGAAGTTTGTGCTGAGTAAACCTCAGTGCCATTGACCCTGTCTCTTACAAGTGGGGGGAAAGGGTGGGGGAGTGAGTGGGGGTGGGGGAAGTGGGGGGAGGGGTGGGGGAGTGGGGGGAGAGTGGGGGGGAGTGGGGGGAGAGTGGGGGGTGCTTTCCAAGAAATCAGGAACAAGAGGTCACAACCTCTGCGTCACCAGCAACTTCAACAGCAGCAACATTCCTCACTGTTATCCTCAACACCATCATCAGCAACACCATCATCATCAGCAGCAACATCATCAACAGTCGTACAGGGCCACGCTCACCCCACGCTCACCCCACGCTCACCCCACGCTCACCCTCACCCCACACTCACCCCACGCGCACCCCACGCTCACCCTCACCCCACGCTCACCCCACGCTCACCCCACGCTCACCCCACGCTCACCCCACGCTCACCCCACGCTCACCCCACGCTCACCCCACGCTCACCCTCACCCCACGCTCACCCCACGCTCACCCCACGCTCACCCCACGCTCACCCCACGCTCACCCTCACCCCACGCTCACCCCACGCTCACCCCACGCTCACCCCACGCTCACCCCACGCTCACCCCACGCTCACCCCACCCCACACTCACCCCACGCTCACCCTCACCTGACAGTCATAAAGGGCCACGATGTTTTCGTGCTGCAGCTCCTAAGGGGGTCGGAGGGGGTCAAGAGACACGCGGAGCGTCGTGAAGCGTCGTGAAGCGTCGTGAAGCGTCGTGAAGCGTCGTGAAGCGTCGTGAAGCGTCGTGGAGCGTCGTGAAGCGTCGTGGAGCGTCGTGAAGCGTCGTGCAGTGTGAAGCGTCGTGAAGCGTCATGAAGTGTGGAGCGTCGTGAAGCATTGAGAAGCGTCGTGAAGCACTGTGAAGCGTCGTGGAGTGTCGTGAAGCGTCGTGAAGCATTGTGAAGCGTCGTGAAGCGTCGTGGCGCGTCGTGAAGCGTCGTGGAGCGTCGTGAAGCGTCGTGAAGCGTCGTGAAACGTCGTGAAACGTCGTGAAGCATCGTGAAGCGTCGTGAAGCGTCGTGGAGCGTCGTGAAGCGTCGTGAAGCGTCGTGAAGCGTCGTGGAGCGTCGTGGAGCGTCGTGAAGCGTCGTGAAGCACTGTGGAGCGTCGTGAAGCGTCGTGAAGCGTCGTGGAGCGTCGTGAAGCGTCGTGAAGCGTCGTGGAGCGTCGTCAAGCGTCGTGAAGCGTCGTGAAGCGTCGTGAAGCGTCGTGGTGGAGCGTCGTGGAGCGTCGTGAAGAGTCGTGGAGCGTCGTGAAGCGTCGTGGAGCGTCGTGAAGCGTCGTGGAGCGTCGGGAAGCGTCGTGAAGCGTCGTGAAGCGTCGTGAAGCGTCGTGAAGCGTCGTGCAGTGTGAAGCGTCGTGAAGCGTCGTGAAGCGTCGTGGAGCGCCGTGAAGCGTCGTGAAGCGTCGTGGAGCGTCGTGAAGCGTCGTGAAGCGTCGTGGAGCGTCGTGAAGCGTCGTGAAGCGTCGTGAAGTGTGGAGCGTCGTGAAGCGTCGTGAAGCGTCGTGAAGCACTGTGAAGCGTCGTGAAGCGTCGTGAAGCGCCGTGAAGCGTCGTGAAGCGTCGTGGAGCGTCGTGGAGCGTCGTGGAGCGCCGTGAAGCGTCGTGAAGCGCCATGAAGCGTCGTGGAGCGTCGTGGAGCGTCGTGAAGCGTCGTGAAGCGTCGTGGAGCGTCGTGAAGCGTCGTGAAGCGTCGTGAAGCGTCGTGGAGCGTCGTGAAGCGTCGTGAAGCGTCGTGGAGCGTCGTGGAGCGTCGTGGAGCGTCGTGAAGCGTCGTGGAGCGTCGTGAAGCGTCGTGGAGCGTCGTGAAGCGTCGTGGAGCGTCGTGGAGCGTCGTGAAGCGTCGTGGAGCGTCGTGAAGCGTCGTGGAGCGTCGTGAAGCGTCGTGAAGCGTCGTGAAGCGTCGTGCAGTGTGAAGCGTCGTGAAGCGTCGTGAAGCGTCGTGGAGCGCCGTGAAGCGTCGTGAAGCGTCGTGGAGCGTCGTGAAGCGTCGTGGAGCGTCGTGAAGCGTCGTGAAGCGTCGTGAAGTGTGGAGCGTCGTGAAGCGTCGTGAAGCGTCGTGAAGCACTGTGAAGCGTCGTGAAGCGTCGTGAAGCGTCGTGAAGCGCCGTGAAGCGTCGTGAAGCGTCGTGGAGCGTCGTGGAGCGTCGTGGAGCGCCGTGAAGCGTCGTGGAGCGTCGTGGAACGTCGTGAAGCGTCGTGAAGCGTCGTGAAGCGTCGTGAAGCGTCGTGGTGGAGCGTCGTGGAGCGTCGTGAAGAGTCGTGGAGCGTCGTGGAGCGTCGTGGAGCGTCGTGGAGCGTCGTGGAACGTCGTGAAGCGTCGTGAAGCGTCGTGGAGCGTCGTCAAGCGTCGTGAAGTGTGGAGCGTCGTGAAGCGTCGTGAAGCACTGTGAAGCGTCGTGGAGCGTCGTGAAGCGTCGTGGAGCGTCGTGGAGCGTCGTGGAGCGTCGTGGAGCGTCGTGGAGCGTCGTGGAGCGTCGTGAAGCGTCGTGGAGCGTCGTGGAGCGTCGTGGAGCGTCGTGGAGCGTCGTGGAGCGCCGTGAAGCGTCGTGGAGCGTCGTGAAGCGTCGTGGAGCGTCGTGAAGCGTCGTGAAGCGTCGTGAAGTGTGGAGCGTCGTGAAGCGTCGTGAAGCACTGTGAAGCGTCGTGGAGCGTCGTGGAGCGTCGTGAAGCGTCGTGAAGCGTCGTGGAGCGTCGTGAAGCGTCGTGAAGCGTCGTGAAGCGTCGTGGAGCGTCGTGAATCGTCGTGAAGCGTCGTGGAGCGTCGTGGAGCGTCGTGAAGCGTCGTGGAGCGTCGTGAAGCGTCGTGGAGCGTCGTGGAGCGTCGTGAAGCGTCGTGGAGCGTCGTGAAGCGTCGTGGAGCGTCGTGAAGCGTCGTGAAGCGTCGTGAAGCTGCAGCACAACGTGTGTTGAAGAGCTTCCTAGCTCATAGGATTCTTCCAGCGTGTGTGTGTGTGTGTACGTGTGTGTGTGTACGTGTGTGTGTGTGTGTACGTGTGTGTACGTGTGTATGTACGTGTGTGTGTGTACGTGTGTGTGTGTGTACGTGTGTGTGTGTGTGTACGTGTGCACGGACTGTGTGTGTATGTGTGTGTGTATGTGTGTGTGTACGTGTGTGTGTACGTGTGTGTGTGTACGTGTGTGTGTACGTGTGTGTGTGTACGTGTGTGTGTACGTGTGTGTGTACGTGTGTACGTGTGTGTGTACGTGTGTGTGTGTGTGCACGGACTGTGTGTGTGTACGTGTGTGTGTACGTGTGTGTGTGTACGTGTGTGTACGTGTGTGTGTACGTGTGCACGGACTGTGTGTGTGTACGTGTGTGTGTACGTGTGTGTGTACGTGTGTGTGTACGTGTGCACGGACTGTGTGTGTGTACATGTCTGAGTGTGTGAGAGTGTACGTGTGTGTGTACGTGTGTATGTCTGTGTGTTTACGTGTGTGTACGTGTGTGTGTACGTGTGTACCTGTGCACGGACTGTGTGTGTGTACATGTCTGAGTGTGTGAGAGTGCACGTGTGTGTATACGTGTGTATACGTGTGTGTGTGCTCGCTAACAGCACTTGCCCCTACAGTCTGTTAAGGCTATACGGGGGATCTTTGTCTTTGTGTGTACGTGTGTGAGTGTGTGTGTACGTGTGTGTGTGTGTACGTGTGAGTGTGTGTGTATGTGTGTACGTGTGAGTGTGTGTGTACGTGTGTGTGTGTGTGTACGTGTGAGTGTGTGTGTACGTGTGTGTGTACGTGTGAGTTTGTGTGTGTACGTGTGAGTGTGTGTGTGTACGTGTGTACGTGTGAGTGTGTGCGTACGTGTGTACGTGTGAGTGTGTGCGTACGTGTGAGTGTGTGTGTACGTGTGTGTGTGTACGTGTGTACGTGTGAGTGTGTACGTGTGTGTGTACGTGTGTGTGTACGTGTGTACGTGTGAGTGTGTGTGTACGTGTGAGTGTGTGTGTACGTGTGTGTGTGTGTACGTGTGTGTGTGTGTAGCGTGTGTGTGTGTGTACGTGTGAGTTTGTGTGTGTACGTGTGAGTTTGTGTGTGTACGTGTGAGTGTGTGTGTGTACGTGTGTACGTGTGAGTGTGTGTGTGTACGTGTGTACGTGTGAGTGTGTGTGTACGTGTATGTGTGTACGTGTGAGTGTGTGCGTACGTGTGAGTGTGTGTGTACGTGTGAGTGTGTGTGTGTACGTGTGTACGTGTGAGTGTGTACGTGTGTGTGTACGTGTGTACGTGTGAGTGTGTGTGTGTACGTGTGTGTGTGTACGTGTGTGTGTGAGTGTGTGTGAGTGTCTGTGGGGAGTAGTGGCACAGCAGTAATGATGACGACACTGCAGCTCATGACGCTGATGATCATGATGATGACACTGATGATGATGACACTGATGATGATACTGATGATGATGACACTACTGATGATGATGATGATGACACTGCTGCTGATGACGATGACACTGCTGCTGATGATGATGATGACACTGCTGCTGCTGATGACACTGCTGATGATGATGATGATGACACTGCTGCTGATGATGATGATGATGACGCTGCTGATGATGATGATGACACTGACACTGCAGATGATGACGATGATGATGACACTGCTGCTCCTGCTGGTGGAGTGAGTGACTGACCTTCAGAATCCGGATCTCCTTGCCAAGGAGGGTCTGGGACTTGGCGAGATTCTTCTTGCTGATGCACTTGATGGCCACCTCCTTTGTGTGGTCCTGCAAGGACAAACACACCGCAGGGGAAGCAGTCAACACAACTGCCGGGGCAAGTGCTGAGACGCGCACACACAGACACACACACACAGATACACACACAGATAGACACAGATACACACACACAGATACACACACACACACAGACACACACACAGATACACACACACAGATACACACACAGATACACACAGACACACACACACACAGATACACACACAGATACACACACACACTCAGACACACACACAGATACACACACACACACAGATACACACAACAACCGCCATTCGCCACTAAGTGGCGGTGACGTCACCACGACGCTTGTGCCAGGCTATGTGCACCGTGAGGCCACGTGAAGTGTCGAACGCCCGCTGGCAGGAGGTCACTGGGCAGACCCAGGTGCCACGGGTCGACTGACTGAGATGACTGGCTGATGCACCACCTGTGCCCCCTACTGTGCCAACCTGCTGTGCTTTAGCCACCCGGCGCTCCGCTCGTTGTTGTGAGCGTCGCTCCTCCGCCCTCCGTTGTTGTTGGAGGGCGACTGCCTCCAACTGCCCAGTAGCATCCTTCATGAGCCTCCTCCACAGAGGCCGATCTTGACACCGCTGGTACCAGTCATCGGCAAGTCCACTCAGCTCCACGTCCTCCTGTACCACATCACTCCATCTCTTCTCTAGCCCGTGCCGCGCCCGCTTTGCCCCCTCAATCCGGCCGAACAAAAGCTGTTTCGGCATGCGGTGGCTGGGCATGCGGGCTACATGACCCAGCCATCGCAGCCTTGCCCGTCGGAGGAGCTCACCGATGGGACCTTGCCCAGATCTTTCAAGGATTTGTGAGCTCCTCACACAATCCAGTCTGGTTAAACCCAGGATGGATCGTAGGCAGGCCAGCCTAAATGTTTCTAACCGGCGAAGATGTTCCATTAGGGGGGTCCACGTTTTGCAAGCGTAGAGGAGGAAATGACCATGGCCGAGAAGACCTGAAGCTTAGTGCGGAGCGACAGACCAGGTAGCTTCCACACAGCGTTACGCAACCGATGAAAAGATATTGCCGCTCGACTGATTCGGAGTGAGACCTCTGCTGTTAAACAGGAGCCGGTCATGAGCACACTGCCCAGGTATGGGAAACTCTCCACTCTCTCCACAACTGCCCCATCACCGATTGGGAGTTGTGGGGGTGGAGTGTCCGATGGTACAAAATACCCAGGCAGGTGCTTAGTTTTGGTGGGGCTGATGGTAAGGCCCCATCTCTTAGTGGCACGCTCCAGTCTCAGCAGCAGCGTCTCACACATAGATACACACACATAGAAACATACACATTGATACACACACACAGATACACACACACTCAGATGCACATACACTGAGATACACACAACAACCGCCATTCCGCCACTAAGTGGCGGTGACGTCACCACGACGCTTGTGCCAGGCCACACACACAGATACGCACACACATACAGTGAGGGAAAAAAGCATTTGATCCCCTGCTGATTTTGTACGTTTGCCCACTGACAAGGAAATGATCAGTCTATAATTTTAATGGTAGGTTTATTTGAACAGTGAGGGACAGAATTACAACAACAAAATCCAGAAAAACGCATGTCAAAAATGTTATAAATTGATTTGCATTTTAATGAGGGAAATAAGTATTTGACCCCCTCTCAATCAGAAAGATTTCTGGCTCCCAGGTGTCTTTTATACAGGCAACGAGCTGAGATTAGGAGCACACTCTTAAAGGGAGTGCTCCTAATCTCAGCTTGTTACCTGTATAAAAGACACCTGTCCACAGAAGCAATCAATCAATCAGATTCCAAACTCTCCACCATGGCCAAGACCAAAGAGCTCTCCAAGGATGTCAGGGACAAGATTGTAGACCTACACAAGGCTGGAATGGGCTACAAGACCATTGCCAAGCAGCTTGGTGAGAAGGTGACAACAGTTGGTGCGATTATTCGCAAATGGAAGAAACACAAAAGAACTGTCAATCTCCCTCGGCCTGGGGCTCCATGCAAGATCTCACCTCGTGGAGTTGCAATGATCATGAGAACGGTGAGGAATCAGCCCAGAACTACACGGGAGGATCTTGTCAATGATCTCAAGGCAGCTGGGACCAAAGTCACCAAGAAAACAATTGGTAACACACTACGCCGTGAAGGACTGAAATCCTGCAGCGCCCGCAAGGTCCCCCTGCTCAAGAAAGCACATATACATGCCCGTCTGAAGTTTGCCAATGAACATCTGAATGATTCAGAGGACAAGTGGGTGAAAGTTTTGTGGTCAGATGAGACGAAAATGGAGCTCTTTGGCATCAACTCAACTCGCCGTGTTTGGAGGAGGAGGAATGCTGCCTATGACCCCAAGAACACCATCCCCACTGTCAAACATGGAGGTGGAAACATTATGCTTTGGGGGTGTTTTTCTGCTAAGGGGACAGGACAACTTCACCACATCAAAGGGACGATGGACAGGGCCATGTACCGTCAAATCTTGGGTGAGAACCTCCTTCCCTCAGCCAGGGCATTGAAAATGGGTCGTGGATGGGTATTCAAGCATGACAATGACCCAAAACACACGGCCAAGGCAACAAAGGAGTGGCTCAAGAAGAAGCACATTAAGGTCCTGGAGTGGCCTAGCCAGTCTCCAGACCTTAATCCCATAGAAAATCTGTGGAAGGAGCTAAAGGTTCGAGTTGCCAAACGTCAGCCTCGAAACCTTAATGACTTGGAGAAGATCTGCAAAGAGGAGTGGGACAAAATCCCTCCTGAGATGTGTGCAAACCTGGTGGCCAACTACAAGAAACGTCTGACCTCTGTGATTGCCAACAAGGGTTTTGCCACCAAGTACTAAGTCATGTTTGCAGAGGGGTCAAATACTTATTTCCCTCATTAAAATGCAAATCAATTTATAACATTTTTGACATGCGTTTTTCTAGATTTTTTTGTTGTTATTCTGTCTCTCACTGTTCAAATAAACCTACCATTAAAATTATAGACTGATCCTTTCTTTGTCAGTGGGCAAATGTACAAAATCAGCAGGGGATCAAATACTGTTTTCCCTCACTGTACACACACATTCAGATGCACAAAAGACAAAGATCCCCCGTATAGCCTTAACAGACTGTAGGGGCAAGTGCTGTTAGCGAGCACCTATGAAGGCCAGAACGGTACACGAGGGGGTGGGTGGCCAGCACCACGCCCGACCGCCTTTGTCTCCCTAGTGGCGATATTTACACACCGCACCAGGTACTCGTTTGAGGCTGAGTCGACCTAGGGGAGGCCCGGGACCGGTTCAGATAATCGTCACTGGTGTTGGCCGTGAGCGGGAATCGAACCCGGGTCGCCAGGTTCATAGCGCAGTGCGCTAACCGCTACACTACCGCTCCCCAGATACACACACACTCAGATACACACACACTATGATACACACACAGATACACACGCAGAAACACAAACACACAGACACACACACTCAGATACAGATACACACACAGATACACACACAGATACTCAGATACACAAACATACACAGACACACACTCATGCAGATACACACACACAGACACACAGAGACTCACACACACACACAGAGACTCACACACAGAGTCAACAACAACAGCCATTCGCCACTAAGTGGCCGTGACGTCACCACGACGCTTGTGCCAGGCTATGTGCACCCTGAGGCCACGTGAAGTGTCGAACGCCCGCTGGCAGGAGGTCACGGGGCAGACCCAGGTGCCACGGGTCGACTGACTGAGATGACTGGCTGATGCACCACCTGTGCCCCCTACTGTGCCAACCTGCTGTGCTTTAGCCACCCGGCGCTCCGCTCGTTGTTCTGAGCGTCGCTCCTCCGCCCTCCGTTGTTGTTGGAGGGCAACTGCCTCCAACTGCCCAGTACCGTCCTTCACGAGCCTCCTCCACAGAGGCCTATCTTTACACCGCTGGTACCAGTCATCGGCAAGTCCACTCAGCAACACGTCCTCTTGTACCACGTCACTCCATTTCTTCTCTAGCCCGTGCCGCGCCCGTTTAGCCCCCTCGATCCGACCGAACAAAAGCTGTTTCGGCATGCGGTGGCTGGGCATGCGGGCTACATGACCCAGCCAACGCAGCCTTGCCTGCCGGAGGAGCTCACCGATGGGACCTTGCCCAGATCTTTCAAGGATCTGTGAGCTCCTCACACAATCCAGCCTGGTTAAACCCAGGATGGATCGTAGGCAGGCTAGCCTAAATGTTTCTAACCGGCGAAGATGTTCCATTAGGGGGGTCCACGTTTCGCAAGCGTAGAGAAGGGAGGGAATGACCGTGGCCGAGAAGACCTGAAGCGTAGTGCGGAGCGACAGACCAGGTAGCTTCCACACAGCGTTACGCAACCGATGAAAAGATATTGCCGCTCGACTAATTCGGAGCGAGACCTCTGCTGTTAAACTGGAGCCGGTCATGAGCACACTGCCCAGGTATGGGAAACTCCCCACTGTCTCCACAACTGCCCCATCACCGATTGGGAGTTGTGGGGGTGGAGTGTCCGATGGTACAAAATACCCAGGCAGGTGCTTAGTTTTGGTGGGGCTGATGGTAAGGCCCCACCTCTTAGTGGCACGCTCCAGTCTCAGCAGCAGCGTCTCCAACTCCTCCTCTGAATGAGCAGCTATTACCAAACCCGGGCATCGATCAGCCTCCCATTATATCTGTACCATATGGAGATTCCCCCGGTACAGCTATTGAAGGCTTCACGAACTACGTGGTCAAAATAGATGTTAAATAATGTGGGAGCCAGAGGACATCCCTGTCGCACCCCAAGGTGTACAGGGAATGGCTCTGACTCCCGGCCACGTAGTTTTACCCGGGCCCGCTCACCATCATGAAGGTCCTTAATGATCGTGAGCAGAGGGGTCAGGGACTCCAAAAGCACGAAGAACAACCCAGAGCCCAGGCCTACTGATGGTATCATAGGCCTTGACCAGGTCAATAAAGCAGAGACTCACACTCACACACTCACAGAGACTCACACAGAGAGACTCACACACACACACACAGACTCACACACACACTCACAGAGACTCACACACACTCACAGAGACTCACACACACACTCACAGAGACTCACACACACACACAAAGATCCCCCGTATAGCCTTAACAGACTGTAGGGGCAAGTGCTGTTAGCAAGGACCTATGAAGGCCGGTAACGGTACACGAGGGGGTGGGTGGCCAGCACCACGCCCGACCGCCTTTGTCTCCCTAGTGGCAATGTTTACACACCGCACCAGGTACTCATTTGAGACTGAGTCGACCTAGGGGAGGCCCGGGACCGGTTCAGAAAATCGTCACTGGTGTTGGCTGTGAGCGGGAATCGAACCCGGGGCGCCAGGTTCATAGCGCAGCGTAGCGCTAACCGCTACACTATCGCTCCCCGCACACAGACTCACACACAGACTCACACACACACACACAGAGACTCGCACACACACAGACACAGACTCACACACACAGAGACTCACACACACAGACACAGAGACTCACACACACATACACAAACACACACACACACAGAGACTCGCACACATACACACACAGAGACTCGCACACACACACAGAGACTCACACAGTCTCACACAGAGACTCACACAGTCTCACACACACAGAGACTCACACACACAGAGACTCACACACACAGAGACTCACACACTCACACACAGACACATACACACACACAGACAGACACGCACACAGAGACTCACACACAGACACACACACACAGAGACTCACACACTCACACACAGACACATACACACACACAGACAGACACACACACAGAGATACTCATCTGGCCTGATCACTCGGCACATCGTGTCCAGGCGCAACACCCAAAATATCTCTCTCCTCTTGACTTCTCAGCAGAGGCGGTGGTGGTGACGATGATGAGTTCTTAGAAGGTGATGGTGGTGGTGGTGACGATGATGATAATGAAGTGACCGTGAGTGGGAATGGAACTCAAGTGCAGCGTGTTAACTGCTGCACCACCGCTCCCCACACCCCCACACACCAACACACCCCCACACACACACATACCAACACACACATACCAACACACCACATACCAACACACCACATACCAACACACCACATACCAACAACACAAAGACAAATGACGTCAACATTGTAGAGGACTTGAACGTGGGTCGCGTGGGTTTAAAGTGCAGCGTGCTAACCGCTGCGCCACCACTCCTCCCCACAAATGTAAACACTCGCGCAGACCATAACACAAACACACTCTCACACACTATCACATACACACTCACACACTCTCTCACACATTCTCACACACACACACTCTCACACACTCTCTCACTCTCACACTCTCACACACTATCACATACACACTATCACCCTCACACACTCTCACACACTATCACACACTCTCACACACTCTCACACACTCTGTCACTCTCACACACTCTCACACACTCTCACACACACTCTCTCACACTCTCTCACACACTCTCTCACACATTCTCACACACACACACTCTCACACACACTCTCACACACTCTCTCACTCTCACACTCTCACACACTATCACATACACACTATCACCCTCACACACTCTCACACACTATCACACACTCTCACACACTCTCACACACACTCTCTCACACTCTCTCACACACTCTCTCACACATTCTCACACACACACACTCTCACACACGCTCTCACACACTCTCACACACTATCACACACTCACACATTCTCACTCACACACACACACACTCTCTCACACACTCTCACACACTCTCTATCACTCTCACACTATCACACACACACTCTCACACACACACTCTCTCACACTATCACACACACTCTTTCACTCTCTCTCACACACTCTCACACACTCTCACACACTCTCACACACTCACACACACTCACACACACTCACTCACACACTCTCTCACATTCTCTCTCACACATTCTCACACACTCTCACTCACACACTCTCACACACTATCACACACTCTCACACACTATCACACACTCTCACAAACACACTCTCACACACTCTCACACACTCTCACACACTCTCTCACTCTCACATTCTCACTCTCTCACTCTCTCACACACTCTCACTCTCACACACTCTCACACACACACTCACACACTATCACACACTCTCTCACACACACACTCACACTCTCTCACTCACTCTCACACTATCACACACTCTTTCACTCTCTCTCTCACACACTCTTACACACACACTCTCTCTCACACTCTCACACACACACTCTCACACTCACACACACACTCACTCACAAACTCACACACTCTCACACACACACTCACACACTCTCACACACTAACACTTACTAACACACACACTCTCACACACACTCACACACTCTCACACACACTCACTCACTCACACACTCTCACACACTAACACACACACTCACAAACACACACTCGCACACTCTCACACACACTCACACACACACTCACACACACTCACCCACTCACACACTCTCACACACACTCTCACACACACACACTCACAAACACACACGCGCGCCCACACATAACCACATCCACACCACACTATTAATACAAACTCATAACACTCACTGTGCTATCAATACTCACTCACACAGACAGAGCTCCCCCAGGTAGCCTCTAGCAGGGCTGTAGGGGCAAGTGCTGCTAGTAGCGAGTAGCACCACCTATGATGTACACACAGACAAAGCTCCCCCAGGTAGCCTCTAGCACACAGTCATCTGACTAGTCAGGTGACTAGTGAGGGTGACTAGTCAGGTGACTAGTCAGTGTGACTAGGAGTCAGGGTGACTAGTCAGGGTGACTAGTCAGGGTGACTAGGCAGGGTGACTAGTCAGGGTGACTAGGCAGGGTGACTAGGTAGGTGTAGGTGACTAGTGAGGGTGACTAGGTAGGTGTAGGTGACTAGGCAGGTGACTAGGCAGGTGTAGGTGACTAGGCAGGTGACTAGTGAGGGTGACTAGTGAGGGTGACTAGTGGTCAGGGTGACTAACCTGTTTGTGTCGACCAAGGAAGACAACAGCGAAGGCTCCGTGTCCCACGAGGTCTCTCTTGTAGGTGACTAGTCAGGTGACTAGTCAGGTGAATAGTCACCTGACTAGGTAGGTGACTAGGTAGGTGACTAGGTAGGGTGTAGGGTGACTAGTGAGGGTGACTAGTGATCAGGGTGACTAGTGAGGGTGACTAGTCACCTGCTTGTGTCGACCACGGAAGACAACAGCGAAGGCTCCGTGTCCCACGAGGTCTCTCTTGTAGGTGACTAGTCACCTGACTTGTCACCTGACTAGTCACCTGACTTGTCACCTGACTAGTCACCTGACTAGTCACCTGACTTGTCACCTGACTAGTCACCTGACTAGGTAGGGTGTAGGGTGACTAGTGAGGGTGACTAACCTGCTTGTGTCGACCACGGAAGACAACAGCGAAGGCTCCGTGTCCCACGAGGTCTCTCTTGTAGGTGACTAGTCACCTGACTTGTCACCTGACTAGTCACCTGACTTGTCACCTGACTAGTCACCTGACTTGTCACCTGACTAGTCACCTGACTAGGTAGGGTGTAGGGTGACTAGTGAGGGTGACTAACCTGCTTGTGTCGACCACGGAAGACAACAGCGAAGGCTCCGTGTCCCACGAGGTCTCTCTTGTAGGTGACTAGTCAGGTGACTAGTCAGGTGACTAGTCAGGTGACTAGTGAGGGTGACTAGTGAGGGTGACTAGTGAGGGTGACTAACCTGTTTGTGTCGACCACGGAAGACAACAGCGAAGGCTCCGTGTCCCACGAGGTCTCTCTTGTAGGTGACTAGTCAGGTGACTAGTCACCTACCTAGTCACCTGACTAGGTAGGTGACTAGGTAGGTGACTAGGTAGGGTGTAGGGTGACTAGTGAGGGTGACTAGTGGTCAGGGTGACTAGTGAGGGTGACTAACCTGTTTGTGTCGACCACAGAAGACAACAGCGAAGGCTCCGTGTCCCACGAGGTCTCTCTTGTAGGTGACTAGTCAGGTGACTAGTCACCTACCTAGTCACCTGACTAGGTAGGTGACTAGGTAGGTGACTAGGTAGGGTGTAGGGTGACTAGTGAGGGTGACTAGTGGTCAGGGTGACTAGTGAGGGTGACTAACCTGTTTGTGTCGACCACGGAAGACGACAGCGAAGGCTCCGTGTCCCACGAGGTCTCTCTTGTAGGTGACTAGTCACCTGACTAGTCACCTGACTAGGTAGGGTGTAGGGTGACTAGTGAGGGTGACTAACCTGTTTGTGTCGACCACGGAAGACAACAGCGAAGGCTCCGTGTCCCACGAGGTCTCTCTTGTAGGTGACTAGTCACCTGACTTGTCACCTGACTAGTCACCTGACTTGTCACCTGACTAGTCACCTGACTAGTCACCTGACTAGTCACCTGACTAGTCACCTGACTAGTCACCTGACTAGGTAGGGTGTAGGGTGACTAGTGAGGGTGACTAACCTGCTTGTGTCGACCACGGAAGACAACAGCGAAGGCTCCGTGTCCCACGAGGTCTCTCTTGCTGAACTCGAAGTCGCCCACAGACTCCATGGTGGAAACACGACGATGATGATGCTGATGATGATGGTGCTGATGATGTTGTTGATGTTGCTTATGTTGTTGATGTTGCTGATAATGCTCCCGATGATGATGTTGTTGATGATGGTGCTGCTGCTGATGTTGTTGATGATGATGCTGATGATGATGCTGATGGTGCTGATGATGCCGGTGATGCTGCTGATGATGATGCGTATGTTGTTGATGTTGCTGATGATAATGCTGATGATGTTGTTGATGTTGCTGATGATGTTGCTGATGATGGTGCTGATGATGTTGTTGATGATGCTGCTGATGATGATGCTGCTTCTTGTGATGATGCTGCTGATGATTATGATGCTGCTGCTTCTTGTGATGATTCCGTTGATGTTGAAGCTGCTGCTGAAGCTGATGTTGCTGCTTGTGATGATGCTGCTTGTGATGATGTTGCTTGTGATGATGTTGCTTGTGATGATGTTGCTCTTGATGGTGCTGATTATGCTGCTGCTGCTGTATTTCCTTGTCTTCTTGTTGCTGCTATTGTTGACAATGCTGTTGTTTGGATAGCTGCTGCTGTTGCTTCTATTGAGACAGCTGCTGATGCTGATGTTGCTGATGCTGCTATTGAGACAGCTGCTGATGCTGCTATTGAGACAGCTGCTGATGCTGCTATTGAGACAGCTACTGATGCTGCTATTGAGACAGCTGCTGATGATTCTATTGAGGCAGCTGCTTTTGCTGCCGATGCTGCTGAGGCAGCTGTTGTTGCTGATGCTGCTATTGAGACAGCTGCCCTTGCTACTGCTGTTGAGACAGCTGCTGTTGTTGATGCTATTGAGACAGCTGCCCTTGCTACTGCTGTTGAGACAGCTGCTGCTGTTGAGACAGCTGCTGTTGCTGCTATTGAGACAGCTGCCCTTGCTACTGCTGTTGAGACAGCTGTTGTTGCTGATGCTGCTATTGAGACAGCTGCCCTTGCTACTGCTGTTGAGACAGCTGCACTTGCTACTGCAGCTATTGAGACAGCTGCCCTTGCTACTGCTGTTGAGACAGCTGTTGTTGCTGATGCTGCTATTGAGACAGCTGCCCTTGCTACTGCTGTTGAGACAGCTGCACTTGCTACTGCAGCTATTGAGACAGCTGCCCTTGCTACTGCTGTTGAGACAGCTGCTGATGCTTCTATTGAGACAGCTGCCCTTACTACTGTTGAGACAGCTGTTGTTGCTGATGCTGCTATTGAGACAGCTGCCCTTGCTGCTGCTGTTGAGACAGCTGCTGTTGCTGATGCTTCTATTGAGACAGCTGCCCTTGCTACTGCTTCTGAGACGGCTGCTGTTGCCGATGCTGCTATTGAGACAGCTGCTGTTGCTGCTATTGAGACAGCTGCTGTTGCTGATGCTGCTATTGAGACAGCTGCCCTTGCTACTGCTTCTGAGACAGCTGCTGATGCTTCTATTGAGACAGCTGCTCTTGCTGATGCTGCTATTGAGACAGCTGCCCTTGCTACTGCTTCTGAGACAGCTGCTGATGCTTCTATTGAGACAGCTGCTCTTGCTACTGCCGTTGTTGATGTAGCAGCTGTTAACACCGCAGCACTTTAGGCTGTTGCGGATGCTACTACTGTCACAAATGCCACCATTAAAACCACCACCACAGCAGCGGCCTATACCGCTCGCAATTGCGATTCCTAAGCGGTCAATACTATCGACCCTGTTAAAAATAAAACCACAACAGCCGTCACTGCTGCTGTTGTTGTTGCTGCTGCTGTTGCTGCTGCTGTCAAAGTGATGATAATAATAATCGTTAAAGAGCTGCCGACCCCCGACTCGACCGGCACGGCCCGCTCCCATGGGTAGGGGGCGAGCGACGACTCGGCCCTGGGCAGGGCGACTCAGGCAAGGCCCGGGGGCCCGACGGGACCCAGGCCTCGCCGCTTCGACATCGTATTTTTTTTAAGAAACTAAACAAAACAAATTGTACACAATTTTATATACGCGCGATCGTTTCTGTTTGTTTTCACCTCTCTCTCTTCGCGCGCTTTCTCCTTACGGGGGGTGAAACGTTCGCCTTCGCTTTGTTATTGTTTGTGATCGCCTCAGCGAATCTTGTCCCTCAATGTTGATTGAAGGGACGCGGAGCGACACGCGAAGCTTTTATAGCGGAACCGCCTCGCCGCCGCCGCGTCGAAAACAGTCCGCGCTCGTCCTGCCCGCAAAGAATCCGCGTAAACAAAGCGGCTTTTCTCCTCGAATTAGTTGGCGAATAGCGCCAGAATCTTAGGAGGAGGAAGAGGGGGTCGTTTAACGTCGGCTTCGTTTATAATTAGAAAGGGGAAGGGGGGAAATTTTTGCTACGGTCTGTGTTGTGTTTTGCTCGCTGAGGTAACATCCAGCGGCCGAAAGTAATCCCTCGCGGGACCCAACGTCACCATCAGGCGGTTGGCGATTCGCCTGACGACCGAAGCGGCCTCCCCCCCACCCCGCGGTCGTTTCTCGCTTCGCCATTGGTCAAGAACCCCACCCGCCCCGCCCCCTGCCGTCATTTCTCGCGTTGCCATTGGTCAATCTCCCACCCTCCCTCCCTCCCTCCACCCGCGGTTGTTGCTCGCTTCGCTATTGGTCAGTCCCCCCCTCCCCCGCCGTCGTTACCCGCTTCGCTATTGGTCAGTTCTCCAACCCCCCCCCCCCACTGCCCTGGCAACACCGCCGCAGCAGCCCCGTCCAGCCAATCAAACGACGGCCACCACCGTTGCCCCCTGCCGAATGTAATTGTGACGTCACAGGCGCGGCCGACCAATCACAATCAGACTACAGTTCGAGTCTCGATCATCCGCAGATTAACCACGCGCTTTAAGTATTTGTTTATTAGGGGCCGTCCAAAAATGACGCCACGCGATTTTTGACCTCCACCCCCTCGTCACAGCGTCACACAAAGTCAACCCCCCCCCAAATATGACGTCACAAAGCCCTGCCCCCCCAAAATATATATATTTAAAACACGCTTCAAATCGCTTTAAACTATTTTTGTCATTGTAGTGCGTATTTAATGAGGCGTTGCACTCTGATGTTGTAGGAGAAAACATTTATTAACAAGTCTTATTTAATTAAGTGGTTTTCACACCTGATGATGATTGCTTCTTGTGTTGCAGTCGAAACGTCGTGAGAATTTTATTTTTATATATATATATTTTTATTATTTTATTGTTTCCCTTCTAACGTGGCGACTTTACCCAAAGAACCGAGAATATTAATCCCTGCGGTCACGAAAGATTTAAATCTAAATGTAACCGCCTCTTACGGGGAGGGTTTCCACGTAACTTTGAGATCCTTCAACAAACTCCGGGATAAGAAGGCTCAGCTGATCCCAAGTCTCTCTCTGAACATGCTGCTGACGCACTTGGGCCACATTAACATCAGATGCCCCGCCCATTCTGCTGACGCACTTGGAGCTACATTAACATCAGATGCCCCGCCCATGCTGCTGTGACGCACGTGGGCCACATTAACATCAGATGCCCCGCCCATGCCTGCTGTGACGCACGTGGGCCACATTAACATCAGATGCCCCGCCCATGCTGTGACGCACGTGGGCCACATTAACATCAGATGCCCCGCCCATTCTGTGACGCACTTGGAGCCAACATTAACATCAGATGCCCCGCCCATGCTGCTGACGCACCTGGGGCCACATTAACATCAGATGCCCCGCCCATTCTGTGACGCACTTGGAGCCAACATTAACATCAGATGCCCCGCCCATTCTGCTGACGCACTTGGAGCCAACATTAACATCAGATGCCCCGCCCATTCTGCTGACGCACGTGGGCCACATTAACATCAGATGCCCGCCCATTCTGTGACACACTTGGGCCACATTAACATCAGATGCCCCGCCCATGCTGCTGACGCACTTGGGGCTATATTAACATCAGATGCCCCGCCCATGCTGCTGACGCACTTGGAGCTACATTAACATCAGATGCCCCACCCATGCCTGCTGACGCACTTGGGCCACATTAACATCAGATGCCCCACCCATGCCTGCTGACGCACTTGGGGCCACATTAACATCAGATGCCCCGCCCATGCTGCTGACGCACTTGGGCCACATTAACATCAGATGCCCCACCCATGCCTGCTGACGCACTTGGACCACATTAACATCAGATGCCCCGCCCATGCTGCTGACGCAATTGGGGCTACATTAACATCAGATGCCCCGCCCATGCTGCTGACGCACTTGGGGCCACATTAACATCAGATGCCCCGCCCATGCTGCTGACGCACTTGGAGCCAACATTAACATCAGATTGCCCCGCCCATGCTGCTGATGCACTTGGGTTAACATTAACATAAGATGCCCCGCCCATTCTGTGACGCACTTGGGCCACATTAACATCAGATGCCCTGCCCATGCTGCTGACGCACTTGGGTTAACATTAACATAAGATGCCCCGCCCATGCTGCTGTGACCCACTTGGACCACATTAACATCAGATGCCCCGCCCATGCCTGCCGACGCACTTGGGGCTACGCCCATCTCTAAATCTTGATAAACAATCTTGATTTGCAGCTTCAGTGACTGCAGTAATCCACGATCTTTTGGTTCCGTCGGCAAAGTCATCACGGAGGTAGGAAATTAACTAGCGGATCACGACGACGTTTCGATCACAACACAAGCGACCGTCTTCAGCTGTGGAGGGCTGCTGACGTAGGAGAGAGGGGCCGTCCATAAATGACGTCACGCACCTATGGGGGAGGGGTCAGACATTTGTGACGTTGTATGACGAGGTGGGGTTTGAGCAATGTGACGTCACATCAAAATGCGCAACTTTAAAGAAATATAAACAACACGAAATACGATTTTTTTGTTTTATATATTTTTTTTAGTATTTTATTGTTTCCCTTCTAGGTGACTTCACCGAAAGAACCAACACTATAGACAACATGGACTTTGTTAAAAAAATATATTTCGTGACCGCAGGGATTAATATTCTCGGTTCTTTGGGTAAAGTCGCCACGTTAGAAGGAAAACAATAAAATAATAAAAATATATTAAACAATAAAATCATCATCAGGTGTAAAAACCACTTAATTCAATAGACTCTGTTAATAAATGTTTTCTCCTACAACATCAGAGTGCAGCG